ATATATATTTTTTTTTTTTTTCTCTCCCAATGTGATCACACCCATTCCAGTAGATGGTGGTAATGCACATAGCTTGCAAACTGCCAATAAAAATCCCAGAAGAAGAAGAAGACGAAGAAGAAGAAGAAGAACGAGAACGAGGACCTCTAGTGATAAACAAGGGAAACACAACCAGACACTGTGACAAAAACTAGGTGTAATTGCCAAATAAGATAATTGCCATTAATATGCAATGTTTTAGAAAAGTATAAATTAGTAGAATATTCAGTGTTATGAAAACAGTAGGTCAACATATCATTCTTACAATGCGTTCTTTAATTCCCGGTCTTATTCTGCCCTCTAGTGGCATATCGAAATGAATAGAAACCTTTACAAATTTACTAATGGAGGCGCAAATTATAATCACCAATACAAAATAAAACAAAAAGTCTTTAATACACAAAAATGTCTCTATTTTGTACAAATTTCTGCACATTCGTTGATTCTGAATTTTGCACATGCATTTGAAAGCAATTTGTTTGTGGATAGCCTAAAATATCTGCAACATCAAGTTCAAGGATAATTGTGTGTGCATTTCTTAATCAATATGACAGCCTACTAAAATCATAATAAAGTATAGCCTACTACAAAAAATCAGATAAGTCCAGAATATGAACGTAAAGCGTTCATATCATTATTAAATATTATTATTCAAAAATAATATGATTAATAATGATTATTATTAAAAATAACCAGCATCTTTCAGTATCTAGAACAACGGAAAACTAAACAACAGCCAAAATGAATCATTTTCCTGTTGTAAAGCTGTAACGCCTCCACTGAAGTTGATTCGTTTTTCTGAGCCCAAAAGCATTTTATTTCTTAAAGGGTTAGTTCACCCAAAAATGAAAATTAATTCATTAATTACTCACCCCCATGCTGTACCAACCCCGTAAGACCTTCGTTCATAAATATCATAAATAACTTCGTTCATAAATAACATAAATAACGACTTTATTCCACTATTCCATTACTTCCTTATGGGCGCATGCGCGAGAACTGAGACGAGGACGTTCTCATTCGTCTACTTCTTGTTACCGGCTGCTCACCGCTTAGGAGTTTTACCGCCCCCTACCGTATAAGATGATGTGCTGATATAGCTGGAACTGGAAGCGCAAAACTTTCTGTTTACAAGCAGAGGAAGATGCGCGCTGTACATACGCTTTTCAATTTGCGTATTTTCACTATAAGGTGCACTTAAAAGCCTTTAATCTTCTCAAAAAACGACAGTGTTCCTTATAATCCGGAGCGGCTTATATATGGATCATCATTTTATACGGTAGGTGGCGGTAAAACTCCTAAGCGGTGAGCAGCCGGTAACAAGAAGTAGACGAATGAGAACGTCCTCGTCTCAGTTCTCGCGCATATGCGCCCATAAGGAAGTAATGGAATAGTGGAATAAAGTCGTCAGTTGTGTTTTTTTTGCAAAAAAAGTAGTCTCGTCGCTTGATAAACTTATAATTGAGCCGCTGTAGGCACATGGAATATTTAAACCTTTTCTTCAATGACTTTATGGGCCGTCAAGAGCCAGTCCCTTAGGAAGCCTATGGAAGAGTGATCCAGCTCTCAGATTCAATCAAAAATATCTTTATTTGTGTTCCGAAGATGAACGAAGGTCTTACGGGGTTGGAACAGCATGGGGGTGAGTAATTAATGACTTAATTTTCATTTTTGGGTGAATTAACCCTTTAATTCAATAAGTGTACAAACAAAGCACTTGAAAATAAACATAACTTAAACATAAACTTAACTAGCATGGCATGGACTTGAAACTCACAGGACAGCATCAAAAGATAACAAAGCTAGATCATGATAGTAAACAAAAGTCAGCAAACTGCCACTGCTACTTCCAAAGAATCAATTTATTGATTTCATCAATATACTTTATTTTGGAAGCAGCAGTGGCAGTGCGCCGACTTTTGTTTACTCTTAAGTGCTTGATCTGATTGCGCACCTGCCTTAAGTTTTCTGGATGTGCGCAGGCTACTCTACTACTTTAAAGCTAAATACACAGATTACTGATGATCAAATGAGAAACACCTTAATTCAATGAAACAATAAAACCAATGAGAGCGTAACAGAAATGAAAACAAAAGCACATTAGGCATGAACACAAGTGAAACCCCTGGGAGCAGAGCATGCACAGACACCTGCCCCCACCTGCCCATATTCGGCGAGAGCGGCCAGGCTCGTGCTTCTCGCGGTTTGGGTCCAGTATTTGCCGAGGCGACGCGTTGCCTCAAATCGTGAGATGGTCCTCACTGCGGAACATGAAATCCATGGGGAGGAGTCGGATCCAGATCCAACTCCTCCCACCTTACATACACCTAAACCTAACCAACTCCGCCCCCTGATCCCTAAACCCACCCCTAATCCCTAAACCCAACCCTAATCCTACCCATCTCCACCCCTTGGATCGTGATCCAACTCCTCCCCGTGGATCTCATGTTCTGCATTGAGGTGCTACTGCAAATCGTGGGAGTAGTAATTGGAGCTGATAGAGAAGTTTGAGACGGCTTCGGCCCTTTCTCCACCCACATCTGCCAAGCCCATCTGGAAGCCCACTCTGTGACTTCTTCCACCCCAAATGAGAGCCCGACACTGGGTTGGTCTAGCTCTGAGGAGGTGGATTTCATTAGCATTGATGACTCGCTACCTCCGTCCTTCACCTTCTGGTTGTGTTCTTGCTCTAGCCAGATGCTAATAAAATACTTAATGGCCCTTTAAACACCCACTCTATTGTCTAATATCTGGCGAGCAGCTCAATTCTTGTCCTCATTTGACAAACCTTTTACACCTCTGTCGGCAAGTAACTTTGTGGGCGGGTCTTGGGCACTGTTGCTATTTTATCGGTGGGATAATGACTCTAGCACCCCAACCAAGTTTAAAAGGGGTTGGTCTGAAATAGCTTCATTATTCTTAGGAGTGGTTTGGGTGTAACGTGAAAAAAATCAATCAGAGCGTCATCCAACATACCCTTTAAGGGCAGGTGCGCATGTTGCACGGCGGATTTTTATTATTATTTACCACGCCAGGAGTGGTTCACAGCCGAGGAGACCGACGTTTATGTCAGAGCAGTGAAAGACAGAAAACTGACGTTGTATGGGATGTGAGAAACCGACCCAAATAAGTGTCGGTTAAACAGGCATGGGACACACCACAATGATTTCCTTCATGTGTTAATATTTTTCCTTGTTATAATGTATGATTTGCAAAAAAACTGCTGCATCATTGTTGATGAGAGAATCAAAGTGTATGTGCGTTGAGCACCCGCTACATTATGGCAAAGCATGCACACTTAAAATAGCATTTATGAACAACGTGCTACGCTCCACTGACTTTAGGCTAGGTTTTTTTTTCTGGTCAGTGGCACAATAGGCTCTATGTACGATCGCTTCGGTTTGTCTCAGCACGCCCAATTACATCCGATGCTGCGTCAGAAGCCGGTTTTGCATTAGGTGGAGATAGTGGCAAAGTAGCCTACACTTGCTGTTTGCAAAAACTTCCTGCGGTTAACGTGAATGATGTTAACAACACTGTGAGGCAGTTAGCTGTCACACATAAGAGTAAAAAAGAGAAGGTCTTTAAATTATATATTTCAAGCTACATCAACAACTTTGACTGTGAGCATTCTCTCATATCGTGCGCAATCCGACTAGCGAATCAGTTTCTAAAATCGTTGTCTCCGTTTCTGAGAAAATGAATTTTATGAAAGTTTTGCTGCTATTTTGCCTGCAGAACGCGCTTGCGGAAGTAAAGAAGCTGGCTAAGTTTCTTTCAGATATATACGTAGTTCGTGCATAAAGCGTATTGTTTTCTGGAACTGCAAAATAGCAGCACTAGGGAATGTTTGCGTCGAAACACGCCTCCTTTTTGTGCAGACCCGCCCAGGGAGCACAAGTTAATTTCCTAGTTTACTGACGTGCGTCTATGGAGGGAAAAGCCCGCTTTGCGCAGGTGAAAAATAGGAATGATAAATGCGTCAGTGTACAAAGTCATTTGCCCAAGATATGGACCTTAATCTTCATTATTCTTTCATCGTTATTCTTTTGTTTGTATCCTTCTTGTATTATGGCTTGCCCATCTACACCACTTTTATCCCTACATAAATTCACCTATTATCTGAAGTATTTCTATAAAATAATAATAATAATATATATATATATATATAAATTAACAATTCTTGGGAATTCTTTTAACAAAATAGTTTATGTAATAGATATAGTTCCTGGCACGACAGGTGCATTAGAGCTATATAACACAATTCATGTGTGGGCAGACCAATAGAAGCTACATCTACAATAGGGCTGTACGGCTACCAAATCAACAATCAGCAGATGAATTTCAGAGGCAATATTTTATCTCGAGGCGTGCTTTCTGCCCTCGCCTCTGCCAGTAAGCCCATTCCACTAGAGGTATGGCATTAAGTTTGATCAAAACCTTTGATGTAAGCTTTTGTAGACTGGACCTTCTGGCTGCACCAGGGTCTTAAGTGCTCTTGCCATGAGCTGTGCCTGGACAGTTTCAAACCAGGACAGGCATTTTACATTTGATTACTCCATTCAGCTTCAGTAATATTTCTAAAGCACTGTTTATTTCATTTGGATCTTTATTCTATTGTATTTATTTAACCTATTTCTTTAGATTTGCCAATGTTTTCTATTTATTTTCTATATATTTTAATACTGGCTGTTTACTTCAATAATTCAATTATCTATTTTGACCTTGCATGCTATTGCATATTCCCATATTGTTCCTGTGTGTATATCTCATATTATGTGCTGCCTGCTCTCAGTTAGTATGATTTGGTGATTTGTCTGTAGTCTGTTGTCTGTAGAAGGGCTGAAAATTTTGACACACTGGCTCACCCTCAAGATGTTCCAAACCGTTATAGTTTCTTTCTTCTGTTGAACACAAAAGAAGATATTTTAAAATGTAACTAATTTTCTTCTAATTTACAGGGAACATCATGAAGATCCTCCTGGAAAATTTAGGTTTGGCAGAGTGTTATGGCAAGAAACTCACTCTCCACAGACTGCTACAGATCAACAAGAAGAGTGTGACAGATGTGCCTGTCCAGTCCCTTTCAGATCTGCCATGGCTGTTCTTGAAGAGACTTATGTTGCTACAAAGGACAGCGAGGAGTGTTAAGTGTTCCTCAATAGATGGGGCAGAAGATTCAGATTGGGATGATGATCAGGATAGTACTGAATCAGATTGTCCTCAGTTAGTAAACCCTTTAGATGTTTTGACTGCTGTGTTCCTTTGTTCTGACAGTTTTCTTCAGCAGGAAATGATCATGAAAATGTCCATGTGTCAGTTTGCGATTCCTCTGCTGCTTCCAAACAGTGATAGCAATCAGATCATGCTTATGCTTTGGGCAATGAGAGATATTGTGAAAAAATACAGACCACACTCCCTGTCAGATGCAAGTGGATTTGTGGAAGAAAGGATTGTTCTCTCAAACCTACCGTTAGTGTCTTTTGTGAGACTTGGCAGGTGCAACATTTCCAAATCAGAAATTCTGAATAAAGTGCTCAGCAATCCACAGCAATACACTGATACCTTTGTGCACTTAAACATGGGTTGTGGAAACATTAAGAAGAAAATATCAAATGGCTTGGTTGAGATGGCCTGGTATCTTCCTTGTGGAAATGAAAACATTGATGTCTTTCCTGAGCCAATAGCAATTGCAAACTTGAGAGGTGACATCCTGAACTTTGAAACACAGTTCTCTTTTCTTTGTGAGGCTTCAACTGCTGTGTTTGTGTTCTTTGAATCCCAGCTTTTAGAAACACAGTTCATTTCAGTGTCCAGTCAAAAACCTACGCCTCAGCTATTTTTTGTGGGAGACTCCAACAACAACAGCATAAAGGCTACTGTCAAGAAGCTCAATCTAAAGAAAAGCAATTTCATCTTTAAAGCCAGCCAAAATGATGCAGACTTTGTTCACAAAATTCAGAGCAAGTTGCGAGACACAATTAATAACAATCATCACAAAACCTCAGTTATTCGTTTAGCTGAGATTGCACGAAATCTGAGAATCTTGGTGGACGAGGATAGTAAAGAATGTCAGCGTGCAAAAAAAATTGCAGATGAAATCACATCAAAAATAGAGGATATAGTGCAGTTCAAGAAGCAGGAGCTGCCCTTGCAAGGAGAGATCTTGATGAAACTGGCTAAGTTAGAGAAGGAGGAATACCGACTGAAGAACATTGGTGATAAGAAGAATGATGACTACAAAAAGGAACTTAAGAATCAGAAAAAGAAACTCAGAGAAGAGCAATACAGGAAAGACATATCTTTCACTATGAGCTGCTTCATCAGTGCAATATCAACACCAGAAAGGGACTACTTCTTAAAATGGTTGAGAATCGCTCTAGAGAATCGATCCCATGAAGTACTGCCTAAACTCAGAGAACTGTACAAACAGAAATGTCAAGATATTTGTGGAAACAAGACAGAAATTGCTGAGCTTGATAAAAAGATTTCAAACAGTTCTTTAGGAGTGGAGCATTTCATTCGAGAGATGAGCCAGCTTTACGAGGCTGCAGTCTCGCTTCCAGAATATGCACCTAACCGAAAACAGCTGGAGCACTTACCTAGACTCTGTGCTGAACTACTATTGGGTGGATTTTCACTTGAACTGGTGGATGGAGATTCTTCAAATATCCCTGAAAAATGGCTTTCTGGTGTGTTTTATGAATTAAACAGAATGGTTGAACCCAAAAACAAGATTAAGATTGTCACAGTTTTGGGCGTCCAGAGTTCAGGAAAGTCAACGCTGCTGAACACCATGTTTGGAGTTCAGTTTGCAGTAAGCAGTGGAAGGTGCACCAGGGGAGCCTTTATGCAGCTCATTAAAGTAGCAGATGATCGCCAAGCAGAACTCAAATGTGATTATATAGTGATAATTGACACTGAAGGACTGAAATCCCCTGAGCTCGCACAACTGGACAACAGCCATGAACATGACAATGAGTTGGCAACTATTGTTGTTGGACTGAGTGATGTAACAATTGTCAACATTGCAATGGAGAATTCAACAGAGATGAAAGACATTTTACAGATCATTGTTCATGCCTTCCTCAGGATGAAGGAGATAGGAAAGAAACACACGTGTTTGTTTGTACACCAGAATGTTGCTGATGTCTCGGCTCATGTTTCAAACATGAGAGACCGTAAATTTCTGTTGGAACAGCTGGATGAAATGACAAAAGCTGCAGCCAAAATGGAGAAAAAACTGGAATTCAGCAAATTTACAGATGTGTTGAAATATGACACTGCGACGGGTGACCACTACATCCCTGGATTGTGGCATGGAAACCCCCCAATGGCCCCAGTGAGTATTGGCTATAGTGAGTCTGTGTATAATCTCAAAAAACATATAATGGAAATCTTCAAAAGTTACGAGTCCTACAACATCAATGAATTTCTTAAATGGACCAAAGACTTGTGGACTGCTGTGAAATTTGAAAACTTCATCTTCAGTTTCAGGAATAGTCTGGTGGCTGATGCATACATGAAACTGTGCACAGAGTTCAACAAATGGGACTGGACACTGAGAAAGCAAATGCATTCATGGGCGTTAGAAGCTGAAACCAAGATCTTAAACCATGGAAAATTTGAAAACTCTGAGTCCGTTGAAGATGTTCGTAGTCGTTTACTACGGGAAACAGAAGCTAAGCTTTCAAAAGGACAAAAAGAAATTATTGACAAGATCAAATCATACTATCAACAAAGAGAAGGTCATGTTGAACTGGTGGAAAATTATCGACAAGACTTTATAAACTCTGCCACGTCTTTGAAGATGGAACTTTCAAATTCTGTCACAAGCAAACTGGATGCCGCTGTTTCACGTCGAAATGGAATGATCAAAGTGGAAGGAATCAAAAAGACATACATGGACACAATGGAGAAGAAAGTGCTAAACTTGCTGAAAAACTGTCGTAAGAACGACACAGACATGTCAGATGATAAGCTGGATGAAGCATTTGAAAAAATGTGGCGTGAGACTGTCAATACACTGGCAGGCACAGGGCTCAAACAACAAGATATCAAGACAAAAGTTCTTCTTCATTTGATGATGAGTCTTAAATCTAGAGGAAGTTCAATGGCTCAAAGCTTAGACAAAGTGAAAGATTTAAACAGTCATGGCCATGGAGACTTTGTTGTCAAAAATGACGGGTTATTGAGCACCATATTGAAATTTTTCTCTGCTCAGAAGATCAAGAATGTCCAAGAGATGTCAGACAACCTTATCAGAGATTGTTGGGAATTTGTTAAAGCAAAGAGGGAAAGTAAGGATGATTATGATGACACATACATCAGAAGAATTCTTAACATGATTGATGAGAAACTTAAGGATAATGAAGATCTCAAGCTAAAGGAAGATTTTGAGCTGTCCCTTAAACTGCACATATGTGGCTTCGCAAGTAGAGAATTTCAAGAGATTCACAATAAATTCATCAAGCAAAACAACCCACGAACAGCCTTGGAGAACTTCAAACAAACATACCGCTCTGACTTCATTGACCTTTACCGTGAACAAGACCAGTGTCAGAGGAAAGCTGATGAATTCATGAAAAACTGCCTAAAACCTGCCTTGGAAAGATATATTTCAGAGAACTTGGGCATGAAAATGGCAGACAAGATGGTGACTGGTGAAAACTCAGCAATTTTCGGAACAAGGACAACATTTCAGATTTCAGTCTTGAAAAATCTTCTTGATAAATTTAAATTTGAAACATATTTGCATTTCATCTCATCATATGAAACGTTTGTTAAAACCTTTATTTTGGACAAAATCAAAAAGCACTTTTCAGAAGAGAACAGAATGTTCACATTGGAGGAGAATATCGTCAATGAAGTCATCAGTGAAATTAAAAAGGCTATTGAAGAGGCAGGTCAAGACCCAAAGATAAATGACATCAAGGGATTTATTGAGAACTTTTGTAAAAAACTTGAAAAAAAGTTTGTTTTTCCCAAGGACGCAGTGGACAAAATCAGCACACTGAACAATGCAAATCTAAAAAGATTTGCTGAATGCCTTCAATGTTCTGTAATGGACATGGATAAATCACTGAAAGTGAGTTTCCAAGCAATAGATTTTCAAAGCAAAATATATCGTCTTGAAACCAAACCACAGGATGTGCTTTTCCAACGAGTACATGGCTGTGGGAAACAGTGTCCATTCTGTAAAGCACCATGTGAGGCTGGAGGAGACAAACACACTAAACACTTTGTCTCAATCCACAGACCAGAAGGTCTCGGCCGCTACAGATTTGATGATTCTAAAAAACTAGTGACCGACATCTGCTCTTCTTCAGTACACGGCAACTCAAGCTTTAAGTGCGGAGACACCAAGGATCAGTGGCATCCATATAAAGAATACAGCAAAATCTATCCAGACTGGCGAATCGATCCAGACCCCAGCATAGAGGCCTCAGCATACTGGAAATACGTGATGGCAGAATTCAATGAGCAGTTTGCAGAGAAGTACAATGCAAAGCCTGCAGAAATACCCTGGGGAAAAATCACAAAGGCAGATGCAGAGAAATGCCTAAACATCAATTAACTACCTCTCTGACCTCTGTTTAAATCAGTTTGGTATGATGTTAAGAAAACTCAAAACTCACACCTTAAAATCCAAGTATCCATGACTATTAACTATGACAACAAATGAAGAAAAAAAACCCTGCTGGTTTCAATATTAATCATCGCATATCCTGAATAATGCATGAGTGCCATTATACAAAAAGTTGCTTGCACTTGCTCTTGCCTTGTAATAAGACAACATGAAAAATAATTAAACTTTTTTTTTTTTCAATAAAATAAAGATGTAAACCTTTAGTACTAATTCAAATGTTATAGTATACTCTTAGTGACAAATTATTATTTTACATGCATTAATTATTTTGTTTTGTTGACATTCATGACATCTTAGATTTTCTTTTAAATGTTTGAAAGAAAAATTTTGAGCTTCAAATCTTACTCTTGGATTTTTATTCATGTACTATACGTATAACTGAGCTTATTTCTGAGCTATGTTTGTGATTGTGTATATTATATTGGGTTGTGATTGTGAATTTGATTTTGGTTTGTGATTGTGAATTTGATTTTGGTTTGTGACTGTGAATCTGATTTTGATAAGAGTGGTTGCTCTATGACATAAAGGCATGTCTGTATCAGTGAGGTCACAACACTGCTGACATCTGGATCAGTTTAATTAACATTTGAAGCATTTGCTAATCACATGAAATCAATGTAACCTGAATAAATATTGCTGGCATCAGAGTTGTTTTGTAACTTTTATTGTTAATAATATACTGTCTATCTTGCATCTACAATTGAACAAAGTCACCACCATTAAACAATCTAAAGATATTGATTTAATATATTATATCCTCCTATCGAACACCTTGGGATGAGAATGCGTTGGTTTACCATGTTAAACTCCCTCCCCCATAAGCACTGCTCTCAACACAGTGTCATACTGTCACTATGCAAACAATTTATGAATAATTAATGAACTTTGTGTGTGACAGTTGTCTCTGCACAAGTAATGAACCAATAATGAGCAGTGAATTAAGTGGAAGGTCTTATGCTCCCAGTCTCCCTCTGCTGGACAGGCCGTTGTGTAACACGTTCATTGTTGCTTCGCATGGTGTGTGTCCTGTGCTGAGAATTCTTAAGGTAAATTATGGTAATTTCTTTCTTAATTTGTAATGTTACTTTTCCAAAATGACACAAACTCAATGATAAATTCATCCCACAGTTGGAACTTGCAGGGCGTAGCCTTCAAAATAAGACATTAATTTCTCCCTTTGGGTATGGACTAATTTCTCCCATCATGGTTTGCTTGCCTTGTTGGTTTACTTACTGCAATCTGATCTTCCCTGTATTGATTGACCGCTTTACATGCGTTTCTCAGGTGTGTTATTCTCACATGTCAACAATAAAGTCCCAATGTGTATTTTTATCCTCATCCAGTGTGTGTTTGATTCTCATAATCACTTACTAACTAATTGTATGAAGCTCAGATTTTTATTGGGGTTTCATGGATCTAGAAATGAATTTCCGTGCATTTATTACAAGTCAGTGTCACAATGAAATCAAGCTGGACCATTTTTATTTTCTTATGGAATGTTGTAGTGCTCATTATAAATGACTTATTTGTGCACATTATATTATTATTATTATTAATAATAAAATATGTCCTTGTAATCTTCAATAAAAAACAATGTCCCCTTCCACTCAATGGCATCTCTTCTCTGATGACTGTGTATTTTGGCACATGGGCTGGACAATGAATGAGGTTGTTTAATAGCCAGACAAATTTCAAGCCCTCCTAGTATACAGTAATAAAGTACTGTATTTAATTAGGAATATTCGTTTCAATTTAATTCATAGTTAATGTTAAAATGCTTTATACAAATAGTGAGTTAGATGTCCTTCCATTGACTCTATATCTTCCGTTTCCAGCTCTGGCTCAAACATAATATGGTTGAATTCCGTAGGTCGCGGCCAGGTCGGGTCATTTTGGAATGATATGCTGAAGTTACCTGCGGTGTCAAGCCCCCTCCTTCCTGCCACCAATCAATGCGCCCCTCATTTGATTTACATGATTTATCTGTCAATCAGATGCATGTAAAAGTGTAGTTCGTTCTTATAGCAACAGTGGGCTCCCAGCACATTTTCGGTAGGCTACAACGAAAAAAAGACCATTTAATTTAACATGTTAACCATACCCCATTTTTTATTTTATGTTTTTTTACTGGGAATTTTTTATTCATACTGTTTTATTGTTTTTCATACCCTTTTTATCGGACCTCTTAATTAACCTTCTTTGCTTTCAATTATGAATGATTCAAATCAAAACATTCAAATGATCTTACCTGGACTTTTCAAAACTACTGTAGTAATACAAAAATTGCTCTTGACATCAGAGAAAGCTAGTAGTCTATATGTGGAGCACTTTTATCATTGATGGATGCACTTTTTTGGGCTTCAAATTTTCTCCAGTCATTCACTGCCATTATAAAGTTTGGAAGAGACAGGCCATTTTTTTAACTCAGATTGTATTCGACTGAAAGCAGAAAGTCATATCTTCTAAGGTGACTTGAGGGACAGTAAATCGTGGGCTAATTTTCATTTTAGGGTGAAATCCCTTTAAAGTCATACATCATTCTTTTGAAAATACCTGATAGTTGGATAAACACAGATATATTATAGCTATAATGTGTGTGTGAATCCATGTTTCATCTGTCAAAACATCACTATTTGCATGTTATTACATCCATATAAGGCATTGAAATGTGTAAGTTGAATACTTCTATGCATCAGTACTGGGCCTTTAGTATGAATGAAACAGATGAGATGAGAGTGTTTAGCGCTCCATTTCGCTATCATCTCCCCATTTTGGGTAAAAATAGAAAAATACTAAAGTACTTTGTAACGTAGTTACTTGAGTACTTTTTAAGCAAAAGTAAGTACAATTTGTCAGTACTCTTTCCACCACTACTCTGGGAGTTGGAAGGGGTGTGTCGCGATTCTGCCTTCTCACACACATTTCGGTTTCATGTTGCATCAGCCATCATTTCTACTAAAGAAAATGACAAAAAATAGTAATGCACAGTAACTTGGATGAGTAACTTTTGTCTGATTACTGGTTTGGAAATAGTAACGTGTTAGATTACTTGTTACTGAAAAAAAGTGTTCCAATTAGAGTAACGCGTTACCGGCATGACTGATCCCGGGTTCATTAGATATAAATAATTATACTTGATAATTTAACAGCTTATTTCAAATAATACAAACTATTATTCACTATTTTATTTATCGTGTAATACAGTATATTCTGGTGTATTAAATTAAAATACTTATACATGATAATTTTACATCTAATTTGTTAAGTTCAACACATGTTTAAATTTACTTTAAAATACATAATAAATATAACATCTTATTTCATTTAATCACTATTTTGTGTTTTATTCAAGCACGATGCTTTTCATTTCTTAAAACCATTTTGCGACATTTCATCTGCTCAGAAAGATTTAAGACTCTAGCGAGATGCATAAAGACCTCCTCATTAATTCAACACATGTTTAAACTCACTTTAAAATAGTTAATAAATTTAACATCTTATTTAATTTTTTTATATGCTTTTATTTGTCATCAATGCTGTTTCTTGAAACTCATTTGTTTCATTATCCCCCCACAGACATTATGGACGATAGATCCATCTGAAAATCATATCCAACAAAGATCCTCTGTTCATAATTTCATCGTTCTGTGAACATTATCATGCTATAATGAAACAACCCCTAAAAAAACATTCCCATCAGTTACACCAAGCAAATTGTCATCATAAACACACCGGAACCACGCTGGGCCAAAAGGTTACAAACCACCTAAACCCCTCCCATGGTTATATCATGTCACAAAACCATAAATCATTTTTGACACTCTGTACCTTATAAACACTACTACTACACAACCACTCACAACAGAGATACATTCACAACACAAACCAAAATCAAATTCACAATCACAAATGAAGCTCAGAAAAACACCTCAGTACAGTACATTAAAACATGTCAAACATTTGAAAGAAAATTTGTACTAAAATAAGATGTCATTAATGTTAACAAAACAAAAGAATTCATGCATGTATAGCCAAAATAATTATTTGTCAGTAAAAGTATACCACAACATTCGAATTAGTACTATAGGTTTACATAATGAAACACATTGTTATTTTATTGGACTAAAACACTTAGCTTAGTTAAATTATTTTTCATGTTTTCTGATTACAAGGCAAGACCAAATGTATTGAGCTTTTTTGTATAATGGCACTCATGCAGTAGTCAGAATATGCTGTTTTCTTAGCATTATACCAAACTGATTTAAACAGAGAGGTAGTTAATTGATGTTTAGGCTTTTCTCTGCATCTGCCTTTGTGATTTTTACCCAGGGTATTTCTGCAGGCTTTGCATTGTACTTCTCTGCAAACTGCTCATTGAATTTTAACATCACATATTTCCAGTATGCTGAGGCCTCTATGCTGGGGTCTGGATCGATTTGCCAGTCTGGATAGATTTTGCCGTATTCTTTATATGGATGCCACTGATCCTTGGTGTCTTCGCACTTAAAGCTTGAGTTGCTGTGTACTGAACAAGAGCAGATGTCGGTCACTAGTTTTTCAGAATCATCAAATCTGTAGCGGCCGAGACCTTCTGGTCTGTGGATTGAGGCAAAGTGTTTAGTGTGTTTGTCTCCTCCAGCCTCACATGGTGCTTTACAGAATGGACACTGTTTCCCACAGCCATGTACTCGTTTGAAAAGCACATCCTGTGGTTTGGTTGGAAGATTATCTATTTTGCTTTGAAAATCTCTTGCTTGGAAACGCGCTTTCAGTGATGTATCCATGTCCACTGCAGAACATTGAAGGCATTCAGCAAATCTTTTTAGATTTGCATTGTTCAGTGTGCTGACTTTGTCCACTGCATCCTTGGGAATAACAAGCCTTTTTTCAAGTTTATTACAAAAGTTCTCAATAAATCCCTTGATGTCATTTATCTTTGGGTCTTGACCTGCCTCTTCAATGGCCTGTTTAATTTCACTGATGACTTCATTGAAGATATTCTCCTCCAATGTGAACATTCTGTTCTCTTCTGAAAAGTGCTTTTTGATTTTGTCCAAAATAAAGGCTTTAACAAACTTTTTATATGATGAGATGAAATTCAAATATTTTTCAAATTTAGATTCATCAAGAAGATTTTTCAAGATTGAAATCTGAAATGTTGTCCTTGATCCGAAAATTGCTGAGTTTTCACCAGTCACCATCTTGTCTGCCATTTTCATGCCCAAGTTCTCTGAAATATATCTTTCCAAGGCAGGTTTTAGGCAGTTACTCATGAAGTCATCAGCTTTCCTCTGACACTGGTCTTGTTCACGGTAAAGGTCAATGAAGTCAGAGCGGTATGTTTGTTTAAAGTTCTCCAAGGTTGTTTGTGGGTTGTTTTCATCGATGAACTGATTGTGAATCTCTTGAAATTCTCTACTTGCAAAGCCACATATGTGCAGTTTAAGGGACAGCTCAAAATCTTCCTTTAGCTTAAGATCTTCATTATCCTTAAGATTCTCATCAATCATGTTAAGAATTCTCCTGATGTATGTGTCATCATAATCATCATTACATTCCCTCTTTGCTTTAACAAATTCATGACAATCCCTGATAAGGTTGTCTGACATCTCTTGAACCCTCTTGATCTTCTGAGCAGAGAAAAATTTCAATATGGTGCTCAATAACCCGTCATTTTTGACAACAAAGTCTCCATGGCCATGACTGTTTAAATCTTTCACTTTGTCTAAGCTTTGAGCCATTGAACTTCCTCTAGATTTAAGACTCATCCTCAAATGAAGAAGAACTTTTGTCTTGATATCTTGTTGTTTGAGCCCTGTGCCTGCCAGTGTCCTAACAGTCTCGTTCCACATTTTTTCAAATGCTTCATCCAGCTTATCATCTGACATGTCTGAATCATTCTTACGACAGTCTTTCAGCAAGTTTAGCACTTTCTTCTCCATTGTGTCCATGTATGTCTTTTTGATTACTTCCACTTTGATCATTCCATTTCGACGTGAAACTGCTGCATCTAGTTTGATTAAGACAGAATTTGATAGTTCCTTCTTCAAAGACGTGGCAGAGTTTATAAAGTCTTGTCGATATTTTTCCACCAGTTCAACATGACCTTCTCTTTGTTGATAGTATGATTTGATCTTGTCATTAATTTCATCCTGTCCTTTTGAAAGCTCAAATTCTGCTTCTTGCAGTAAATGACAATGAACAACTTCAATGGTGCACTTCTCAGAGTTTTCAAATTTTCCATGGTTTAAGATCTTGGTTTCAGCTTCTAACGCCCATGTGTGCATTTGCTTTCTCAGTGTCCAGTCCCATCCGTTGTACTCTGTGCACAGTTTCAT